TGGTGCTGATTCCTGGGTGGGAGTGGTTTTGTGTACTTTCTAGGACACTGTGGGTCTCTCCAACATTCTCTCCTGTGAGTCTGGGCATTTCTCCTGCTGTGTCAACCCCTACAGTTTTTTTTCCGGTCAGAAGTTTTGAGCCTTGTGGCCAAGATGAAAGCCTAGGTAGGTATACTTTGTCTCCTTGTACAACCAAAAGAAGGACAACAACAAATTTAAAAACAAAAAAATAACCAGAACTGCCAGAAAATCAAACTGTATGAAAGTCTGATAACCAAGGAGTTGAAGAAACATTTATCCAGACTGGTAGGAGGGGTGGAGACAGGCAGCTGGGGTGGAGAGGATGCACAGCAGGGAGGTGGCTGGAGGACTGGGGGTGAGCGAGGCAGCAGTTGGTGGAGTGGGCAAGGCTGGCAGACCAGGCAAGGTGGTGGCCCCACATTTGTGTGCAGATAAACTGGGAGGAACAACGGGCGTGAGACAGACCGTGCAACCCAGGGTTCCAGCACGGGGAAATAAAACCTAAATCAGTGATTCTTAAATCTGGCTGCACTTTAGAATTATCCGGAGGCCCTACTATAACAAAAGCGGGGCCATGGCCCTACCATTAGAACAATTAGATCAAACTCTCTAGACTCTAGAGACTAGAGGTAGAGCCTAAAGTACTGCATTTTTAAAGACTTTTCCACTAATGTATATCCAGAGTTGAAGATCATTGATGCAAATGCTTCATGTTGAATGTAACTTTCATTAATGGAAGGCTGATAGTGCACATTAGCAGCAGAGGACAAAAAAAGGCATGTAAAATCCCTGGAGAATTAAGGTTGGACTTTTCAAGTGACCAGCAATTGCTAAAAGGAGACTATACTTTTCAGAAATAATCTGAAAAGAGCAAAGACTCATGTTCCTACTTTTGTAGACTTTGCAACTAAAATAACCCCATTGTCAAGATCCACAGCCTCATCCTCAATCCTTATTTCCAAAAACATGCTCTGAAAATGCGCGTTTTTCGTTGTTGTTTTTTTAAACTTATTTGCCCTGAAAACCTTACATGAGGGTATTTTTACTTTTTTCCCTAGGTAATCAATCCTCTTGTCCCCTGACATTTAAGGTATCAATTCTCAACTCTTAAAGACTTTATTTCAGATAACTTTATTTAGAACATCAGGGTTTTTTAAAAGATTTTATTTATTTATTTCAGAGAGCAGGGACAAGAGGAAGAAAAAGGAGAGAAACATCAATGTGTGGTTGCCTCTTGCATGCCTCCCACTGGACACCTGGCCCACAACCCAGGCATGTCCCCTGACTGGGAATTGAACTGATGACCCTCTGTCTCAATGGCCGGTGCTCAGTCCATTGAGCCATACCAGCCAGGGCAAAACTTCAGGATTTTACATGAGATCTGAGTTTGAATGTGTTGGGGAACTGTTGCTCTTCCACTTAAACTAAATGACCTTGGTTAAGCCGCTTAATCTGTTTGACTCTCCTTGTCAGTAATATGGGAATGACATAAACTTTACAGAACTGTTGGAAGACCAAATGAGAATGTATGTAGTAAGTGTTAAAGTGTCGAGGACTTAACATTTAACAAAAGTTAACTATTGTTTTTATTATTTCTAATTCTAAATTAAATCTCAGTTCTCCTTAACTTTTCCAGTCAACAAACATTTATTTGGTGCCGACTATGTCACCATTATTGCAGTAAGTGCCAGGAAAACAACCATAACTAAGGGAGGCACATTCCATGTCTTTCATGAGCTCTCCCCGACTCCTGCACTTGAGACATCCTAAACTAAGACCTGCTAATTAAAGGCCTCCCTTAGACAGAAATGCACATGCAATAATAGAGTCATTGCCCTATTGATGAATGACTCATCTAGTTTATAGTTTATTCCTAAAAAGATCTTTTTCAGTTACCTCATTAATTCTATCCTTCTTTCTAATTCCCCTCTCTAGCCACAAATGATTTCTGGCATAAAATGTTTTGGGAAAACTATCACTGCTATAGAGAAGGATCCAGTTCCATCACCTCCCTCTACCACATGGTTGGTTACCCTGGACTCTGTTTAGTTCTCTATTGTATTAAGACATCCTAAGGAGACTTATCTTATTCCTTCTCAAATTTTTAATCTAGCCTACTTGTGGCTACTGAAGAAATCTAGTATCACTAAGTAGCTCTTGAGAAGGGGATTTTTAGTGGTTCTCTTAGGGACAGAAAGGAGAGTGAACAGAGGTTGATTTATATTTATTTGTCTATTATAAAGCTGTGGTTAGAGAAAAGTGATCAGGTTGTATTTCATTGGTTGGGGACCATGAATGATATTTTACTTATCACAACATTTTGCTCATTTTCATCGTCCTGAATTCTCTTACTTAGATCAGGTATTCGGCCTGTTATCTGAAAGCACCTGGATCTTAAGCCTTAGAACCTTGGGGGCATGACTACATCTAGTCTGTTGGATTCTCTGCCAGGGTTCATTTCTGGTTTTGCCCTAAAGCTTGTTGGACTAAAGTTTAGTGAAGTTTATTTCTGAAGAACAACCAGCTGTTAGACAATTATTACCTCTCAAGGATAAGATGCAGGTAGTAAAATCTAAGTCCACTTCACATGATACTTTATCTGCCAATCTGTTTTCACTTGACTCTTCTTTTTCTTATTTCCCCTGGTCTTTCCAGTTTATTCTTTCTCCTCTCACACCTTAAATGTAGCTATTTCTCTGGTTCTATTATGTAATGTAGGTGAACTCTAACGTACCCTGACACTGGCTCTCCAATTCTCATCTCTAGAATAGAATTTCTCTCTGATTTTCTCTCCCATGTATCTTTCTTGCCTATGGAAACTTATCTTGGAAATCCTGCTAGCACCTCGAATTTGTCTTGTCCAAAATTTAAAAAGTTATGTTTCCAATTCCCACCCCAAATCTGTTCTTCCTGTATTCCCTGCCTTTGTCAGTGTCATCACTTTATTCTTCCCTTTCTTCCCTTTCTCTCACCAAGACCTATTTGATATGATTTCTGGTGCTCTTTTGAATCAGTCTTTTCCATCCTTAGTGCTTTCTTCATTTTTTGGTATCCATCCATTTTATTGGCACTGAGGAAACTGATTTTTCCAAAGCATAAATATGGTTATGATCCTTCCTTAAAACCACCCAGCTACTTCCATTTAATCTATTCAGGACATAATTGGTAGATTCCAAATTTACTTTCACTTGTCTTTAACTGACCTCCTACCATTCATACCTATGCCCTCCACTTCTGTGGTCTTCGGGATTGACCATGGCTTTTCTTGCTTTTATGCCTTTGCATCAGCCATTCCCTTTCTGTCCTCTCTCTTGTCTACCTGCCTAAAATTTGCTTATCTTTCAGGACTCTGCTCAGCAATGTTGTCTCTGGGAAATTTTCCCTAACATTTCTCCTTACCTTCCATGTTGCTTTCTTAGTCTCCTAGCATAGCGCATACCAGGCTGCTTTGGGGTTGCCTAGAAATGTCATACTAGTTGTTGCTCCTTAAGGGTAAGAGGTATCTATAATTTTATAGTCTCATCTTAGCAAAAACAATTGACACATAAGAAATTACACAATAATTGCGTGGTTCTCAAAATCCTTATATTATGTCTTCAAACAATGCGTAAAATTCAGAGGAGGGTATTTTAACATTTACATCAGGCTCTTAAAACCACCAAAGTTCAGAAATAATGGCATCTCATTTTTATGGGCAAAATGATACATGATTGAGGCGTTCTCTATAGCCAGTGTCCATTCCATACCAGAGAAAGATAGAGAGCAGTCCGATTAGAAATACTGTATAGAATTAAGTGTGCATGTTCTGCCATTTTTGTTTATTCAGCTTAAAATTTCTTGCTAAATGCCAGAGACTCTATCTTAGAACTTGGTTTGCTTATTTTAAATTTAGTGATAACTTTGGAAGAGAAACTGAATACAGTGCCAAAGTTAGTTTTCATTTCTATAAGTGACATTTCCTTTAAAATATGCTCGGGGAGGGTAGGCTTTTAGGGAAGACAGGTCTAACCCTTTACCCCTACAAATCGTATGGTATGTAATCGTGTATTAAAACCCCTCACATTACATTTTTTAAGCATCATGAAGAAAAGCAACCGTCACTGTGACTTAGCCTGTTATCAATGTCCTCCCCTCCCCTCCCCCTTTCTTTTGCTCCTGGGGGCTTGTACCAGCGTTTAGTAAACATGTTGCTCTGTTCTTAAGGTCAACGATAAGCAGTATTTTATCAGGCCAAATATTGCTTTTATAACTTGATCTCTCTGTAGAGATACAAGTAAAGCTTAATGCCATTTTCTTTTTGCTATTAGATTTTGTATTTGTATGATGTATTTTTATATTTGAAAATGGCTATTTTATAACAACAGATGTTCTTAATTTTCTAGTCTTTATTGGTTCTGTCAGAATTTGCAAGTACAGTACTATCAGTTCAGCAAATCTGGGAGAATTCCAGCTCACTTGTTGGAGATGCTGCTTTTGAATACTAATTGGTTTAGTTGGAGTAAAAGTTCATAGGTTATAGACAAACTTCATAAAATAAAAGGCAATATTTTGAATGAATGGCTGGTAGTACCTGTCAGTATACTTTGTTTCATTGTGAATTCCTGCTTTCTTTGTAATCGGTTTAATGAAGTCCTTTGGCCCCTTGGTGATCAAGTTAAGATACCTGCTTTTTAGACTCAAAATATACTTATGAAGATACTTTTATGCCTATTATATAATAGCTGTGTGCCAGAGTTTAGGGAAATAGCTATTTACTGGAGGTAAATCCCTAATACTTTATAGTCCTAGTAGACTGTAACTAATTATAGCAGTTGTGGTCTTCCAAAAGTGTAATTTCCCTGAGGGCAAGGTATCTTTGTATTTTTGTTAACAATAAAGTGTGTTTGTAACTCCTTTTCACGTGTTGGTTAAATGAATGAATGGAACCATGCTGATAGGAATGAAAAACTACTAATGTCATCTATCATTTCTGTTTACAGGTATTACCATTTAATGAAGTCTTCTTGCCAGCAAATCTATGATAAAAAATATAAGTAGAAGAGGAAACTATAACTGTTATTTGTCAAGTGACAAGCTTTCAATGTCAGAATGGCTCACCTAAAGCGGCTAGTGAAATTACATCTTAAAAGACATTACTATAAAAAGTTCTGGAAGCTTGGTGCAGTCATTTTTTTCTTCGTGATATTTTTGATTTTAATGCAAAGAGAAGTAAGTGTTCAGTATTCCAAACAGGAATCAAAGATGGAAAGAAACCTGAAAAACAAAAACAAGATGTTTGATTTAATGTTAGAAGCTGTAAACAATATTAAAGATGCAATGCCAAAAATGCAAATAGGAGCACCTGTCAGGCAAGACATTGATGCTGGTGAGAGACCCTGTTTGCAAGGATATTATACGGCAGCAGAACTGAAACCCATTCTTGACCGCCCACCTCAGGATTCTAACGCACCTGGTGCTTCTGGTAAAGCATTCAAGACAATCAGTCTAAGTATGGAAGAGCAGAAGGAAAAAGAACGGGGAGAAACAAAACACTGTTTTAATGCTTTTGCAAGTGACAGGATTTCTTTACACCGAGATCTTGGACCAGATACTCGACCTCCTGAGTATGTGGAAGAATATTCACTGTTTCCTCTTTATCATCAGGGTTTGCAGGGGAGGGCCTTTAACTAAGGAAATTGCTTGTTCTTTAGGCACGCTAAGGAAAAAAAGAATCAATTATCATTTATTTAATCAGGGTTTTTTTTTGGTTTATTATTATTGACATCAAATAATATATGTATTCTTGGTGAGGCATTGCAAATTTGAAAAGTTATTGTCTTAGAAATTAGAAAATTGAATTCTATATCTGACATATATGAAATCACAAGTAACTTCTTTATTCTGAAATGCTTTAGTTTTCTCATCATTTAAGGAAGAAATATGAGGAAATATTTATGGGAAATGTAGGAGTTGGAGGAGTATATGACTATAGAATAGAAATGATTTTTTAAAAAGTGCCAAAATATTGGAGCTGTTAGATAACAATATTTTATGAAGTTAAGTTAAAGACTTGGTGGTTATTCTTCGTGCTATAACTATATTTCAGAATGACCCTGTGTCTTGTAAACTTTCTTTTAAGGAACAATATTGTTATATTGTTCAAATATGATTCTCCAGAGTTTTGTTGAATAAGTCCTGGTATTACAGAGTTGTTGCCTTTTAGCTTCTGAGAGGCCAGCATTGCTCTTTATTGTCATTTGTTTACATGTTTATTTCAAGAATACAGTATTTTGATTAAGACTTCCCCCAGCTTCTACTGTGCTGGCTCTTTGTCCTTTGCTAATCATTTTGTTATCTTTGAGGCAGTGTTCAAGTGCTCTATTTGAACTGAGATAGCTAAAATGAATTTCCAGCACTTTCAAACCATCTGTAGATTTGTTAAAAGTTTAAGACAGACAAAGTGTAAGCAGACAATGCCTACATACTTTGATTTCTGGTTATAATAAAATAATATTTGGAAGTAAAACTAAAGAAAGGAACTTTGGTAGATTTAGGTCTGTTGCTTCACTCTTATTTTTCTAGATTTATGATCTGATTATAAACCCTGCTCCAAGTGTGAATCCTTCAATGTTGAAGTTATATAGATTAGATTTTTGCTGCTGTATTCTAATCTGTGTCATTCAAAGTTGAGTTGCTTTTAATTCTTAAATGAATGTGTAAATCAACAAATGGATATCTATAAAGTATTCTAGCTGTTATAACAGGGCACAGTTTTTGTTTTACATCAGTAGGTTAAAACACAGAATTGCAAGTTAGTGATTGGGGAGAGAGCTTGGCTGAGAAGCAGTTCACATCACAAATGCAGAAGCATGATGCTTATTCTTTGACGGGACAATCAGTATCAGCTAAAGATAAGCTTTTGTTTCTTCCAATATAACATGATAAAACTATAGGTATATTCAATACAGTTAATCATTAAGTAAGTGAGAAATAACTAAGCACTTTTTTTTTGGGGATAAACATGGCTATCCGCAACTGTGAAGATTTAATACTTTATTTTTGAAAACAAAATTGTTCAAGTATAGTTATCCCCATTTTCCTCCCATTGCTCTCCCCTCCCCGGCCCACCTCCTCCCTCCCTCTCGTTCCTCTCCCCCTCCCCATCCTCACTGTTCTTGTCCATAGGTCCTTTACATACATGTTCCTCTACTCGACACTCCCCTTTCTTTCCCTATTACCTCCCTGCTCCCTCCACTCTGGTCACTGTTTTGTTTGTTCTTTATTTCCATGTCTCTGGTTATATTTTGCTTACTTCGTTGTTTTGTTGAGTAAGTTTCACTTATAGGTGATATCATATGGTATTTGTCCCTCACTGCCTGGCTTATTTCACTTAGCATAATACACTCCAGTTCCATCCATGATGTCCTAAAGGGTTGGAGTTCCTTCTTTCTTTCTGCTATGTAGTATTGCATTTTGTAAATATACCACAATTTTTGATCCACTCACCGATGGTCATTTAAGCTGTTCCCAGCTATTGTAAATAAGGCTGCTATGAAATACTGTTTGACTTTAAATTTAACCTCTTTCAGCAAAAAAAAACCCAAAAAACACATTTTTCTGAAGAATTCCTAATCTTCTTGCACACTAAAAATTTAGATCCAGTTTCTCCTAAAGTCAGATGGTCATGTGACTGATTAACTAATTTTCTATATGCTAAAATTTTAAATGGTTTGGACATACGCACTCATTTTGACAAGTTGTTTAATTTCTCTATTTTAAATGACTTGTAAAACAGTTTTTAAAGTATATGTTCAACATCAAAATTGTTTCAGAATAAATGGAAGTGAGGTTTATGAGATCATATTATAAAATTTTACTACCACTTGCATTAATGATATTACATAACACTTTTACTTGCTATCAGTCAAGCAAATAAATTCTAGCTTAAACTGAGAGAAAGTGTTATAAGATTAAAATAATAACATTTTATTTGAGTTTCTGTGAAGTTTTAGACTCTAAATCTTCAAAACATTGTTGTAATTGTTGATCAATATTATATTAGTCACATAGCAAATAAATGTAGGGAAACATTTTTTTAATTCTGAAAATCTCTCTAGCAAATGTTTATAAGACAAATCATTAAGATTACCTTTTTTCTTAAAAATGAAAATATTATAATATGAAGTTGTTCATAATTTTTTACTTACAGTTTATGTTGGTTTATACACCTTTAAAGATTCAAGCTTATATTTAGTCATTTGTCGCTGTGTAATTAAGAGTACATATGAATAGGTAGTTTCTGTTTGGACATTATTTTTAATTTGTAGTTTTTCCAAAATTCAATTTAGAATAAATCATTTCCTTTCATCTACCAATGGGCTTGAATATGATTATTTGTTTCTGATTCTGTATGTATATTACACTTTGAAATAACAAAGTGCTAGAGACCAAAATCACTTTCACCCAGTCACTTCCTCTTTTTTCTACTCAGTCGCCTCTCAATACTCCATTCCCAGTCTAATCCCTTGGTTAGCACTACAGATAATTCCACTCTAATGAACTCTCAGCAGAGAATCTAAAACGCATCCATATTGAGAGCTGGATATAAAGATAATGAACGAGAATTTATAGGATGTCTTTTTTTTGGGACAGCAGTCCCAGGTGTCTGGTACTGTACAAGAGTCTCTGGTTTCCTCCTGGGCCCTGGCAGAGCAACTGAAGTGTTCCGGGCCCTTATCTCCTTGAGTGAATGATTTACTTTCTTCTCTTTAGATTAGAGCAGCACTGTTTGATTGTGCACACACTTACTTATAAGTGCCTTTTGACTCTATGGGAGAATTGTATAATCTGTTGTCTGAAATTATACGACCACTTATGGTTTTTAAGTGAAGTTAAAGATAAACTTTTTTTGTTTATCTCTCTTTACCATAGACCACACATGTTGTGTGTTCCAAGTTCACTCTATTTGTTTTTACAGTGTTTTGAAGCCCTCTCCTACACATTATTTTGTGTGATTGTCACCTTAACTCATTAGGCCAGCGGGCTGTGGTCAGCTGTAGTCTCAACGCCTGGAGGTTATGCAGGTCCACCTGTTACCCCAGGGCTTCATGAGAAGATTAATTTCACTCAGGAAGTGAACTAAGATGCCATTGATTATAATACTGTTATCAAAATAAAGATCAATTTATAACTCATGGTTATAGCTAATGAGTAGCCATTAACCAGTTATAAAGAACTAGAGTCTCCGTCCTTGTGCCTATCAGTGTTTTATGCAGCAACAGAAGCACAAGACTTTTAAAAAAGATTTTATTTATCCATTTTTAGAGAGTGGAAGAGAGGGAGAAAGTGAGGGAGAGAAACCTTAATGTGTGTTACCTCCCACATCCCCCACCTGGGGACCTGGCCCACAACCTAGTCATGTGCCCCAACTGGGAGTTGAACCAGCAACCCCTGGCCCACAGGCCAGCACACAATCCACTGGGCCACACAGGCCAGGGCTAGAGGCACAGGACTTTTATCATGGATTTAGGACTTTTATTTTAGATTTCTAAATATTTTTAAAGAAATATTTAAAATGGTAAATCTCATTTAATTAAACAATAGCCTGGATTATTGAAGCAAAATCTTTAAAAGAATGGATATAGCATATGGTAGGAATTTAAGTTTTGCTGAATAATGAAAATCATAAGAAAATAGGTTTATAATAAGCTGTATTTTCCCTTTTTGTTCAAATATAGATGAAGTAAATTAAATAAACTCGGAAAATATTACACAGTTAGGAAAGTATCAAATTTAAACAAATCTATACAAACATGAATATTCATGTAATAAAATTGCAGTTTTAAAATTTTTAAATGAGAAAATATGATTTCTACAAGGAAGAAACACTTGGTTTTCATTTGACCAACTACAAGTATCTGCCATTTTTACAGGTTGTCTCACACATATGTTATTTTCCTTATTTAAATGTTATTTGTGTTTAAAATTATATCGTAGAGAATGTTTACTATAGTGTGCTCTAGTCTTTGATGTGTAGTCCCTATCCGTGGACATGATCTCTGGGTGAGTGGTCTGCTTGTAAAATATTTTGTTTTGATCTACTTAAATTTATATAGCATTAAGATCATCTTATATAGTTAAAAAAGCAAACACACTATTCACTCTCATTTCCACAGTGAATAAAGTTAAACAGTAATTTTGGTAATGGTATAGCTGAAATAAAGTAGTAAAATTAATCATTGTTCTTCAACTTTTTCTAGATGTATTGAACAAAAATTTAAGCGCTGCCCTCCCCTGCCTACCACGAGTGTCATAATAGTTTTTCATAATGAAGCGTGGTCCACGCTGCTTAGGACTGTCTACAGTGTGCTCTATTCTTCACCCGCCATACTGCTGAAGGAAATCATTTTGGTGGATGATGCTAGTGTAGATGGTAAGAAAGCACATGCAAATTAGACTGTTTCCCAAATCCATGTGGTGTTGTTTAAAGTCTACTTAGTTATATTGTACTCTCCGAATACCATTTCGGAGCTTGAATATAACAGCTTGGATGGTATGTATAGTAGATGAAAGTAGAATGCAAGGGTACTCATATTCACATAGTTTACTCTTCAGTAGTGTGTGAAACATCATTATTCATAACTTTGTAGCCCTTGATGTAGCACTTTTATTGTAAGGCACAGTAGTTAAGAGCACAGACATGAGCCTCAACCCAGGCTGCCTTGCTGTGAATCCCTGCTCTGGTCCTAACCAGCTATGTGATGTGGGTAAGTTAATTAACCCCCCATGCTTCAGTTTCACTATCTGTAAAATGGGAAAAATGCCACATTTCATCAGGTTGGTTGTATGATCTGTCATTAGTTTATAAACCACTAGTATAAAAAGAAGCTCTCACCACCAGTTAGACTAAGATGTCATTGATTATAAGAATTATTCAGTTGTGCAGCTTAGAACTGAGCAAATCCATAAATAGCACATAATTCCTAAGGTTGTTTTGAAGACTAGATAAGTTTGATATAAATAGTATGTAATTAATATAAATGAGTAGTTAAAAACCACTAATTGGTCACCACATCCTGTTTTATTTTGGCTCTTAAATTTTCCAGTATTGTTTACAAAGTTAGCCAGATTCTTTCATGTATTGCCACTTAAAATCACAAGTCAAGAGCAGTTACTAAATTACACATTTTAAATTGGAATCACAAGGCTGATCTGACAAGTACAGCAGTTTTCTGTACACCAATTTTTCAAACATTACAAGCATTTTAAATACCAAACAGATATAGATTATTTCAATGATTACAGAATGATTACTGAATGAGCCTGAACTGGGAATTGAACCAGCAACCCCTGGCTGGCAGGCCAGCACACAATCCACTGAGCCACACAGGCCAGGGCTAGAAGCACAGGACTTTTAGAGTTTACAGCCAGATTATTTAAGGTCAAACTCCAGCTCCAACACTCATTAGCTATTTGCTCATCTGTAAAATTAGGTTGATATTCTTTCATCAGATCCAAAGCAACATCTGTGATCAGATAAACCATTACTTTATGTACTATGAGGAAAAACAACATTGCATATTAAGTGACACATTATTAATTATATCTTGAGACTTAGGAAATGGGAATAAGTGAATAAAGTATGAAATTGTTAACCTATTTATTTGTAATATACAATTTATTTAAATATTTCTATATGTAATTCTAAACATTCCTATGGGCTTGAAAATAAAAGATTTTGAGGGAATCGAAACTGTGATCTCAAGTTAAATTAGCATCAGGGTAGAATAATGTTGCCCGTCACAGGGAGATTTTCGACCTGGATGTGAGACATACTCCCCAAATGGGGAAGTTTTATAATTCAGGTCCCCGACACTTTATGCAGATCTCTGACCTGAATCCTTAATCCTCTGGCCCAGGCTGCTTTACCACTCAGTTGTAATCAACTAATTTATTTACTACTTGATCTGTTCTGAACTTAATCTTTCCATTTGGACTTCAGTCCATAGAGTGCAAGTGACATCTGATTAACTTCTGCACACCCTCATATGTTTTACCTTAAAAAAATCTTTGTTTTAGATATTTTCCCTCTTTGATTTCTTAAACTTTATTCTCAGAGATGAATTTATTTTGCTTGATTTCTCAAGTAGTGAGAAAATAGGGGTACAATAAGGCAGTTACTTTTTGTGAGTCTTCAGTTGAAGGAAACTTTATTATTTAATTGCACAAATAAAATGAATAAAATTAAATGAAATCAGAATGGATATCAGAAAGTGATATCCATTCATAATCTTCCTGTTTCAATCATTTTAGTATTTTCCTTTTTAAATCACCATCTAAATAAATATAGAATGTTTGTCTACTTTTACCCATGTCAGAAATCCAGTTTTGAAATCTAATATTGTCACATAACATCATTATTAACTCATTTATTTTACCTTTAAAACTTTATTTTTTTAATGACAATTGTGGGCTAGATGCATTTTACTTAACCACTTTATTCACCTCATATTACTGTATGTTACAGTGTAATGCATATCATTGTATTTCTGTTATTTTCCTTCTTTTGAATTATATCTTTAGGTAGGTTAGAAGTAGACCTACTTAATCAAAAGGGTCTGAATATTTTTATAATTTTAATAGCAATTAACAATAGATTTGGAACAGTTCTCTCTGCAAGGGCTGTCTTTACATGCTGGTGTAGTAGTGTGTCTCAATGAATCAGACAAAAAGCTGTCTAATGAAAACCCACAGTGGAAAATGTGTTGCTCGCTCCTTGTCTGAAGACTTGTGCAGTCGCTGATTTCAGCTGGCTTAGGGAAAAGCAGCATTAAAATGGGGATAATCAAGTAACACACACAGTTAAATACCAATGACTGCAAAACAGACTTACTGATCAATGACTGATCAACATTTACCCAAGCATAGGCCCTGTCTAAAAGGCTTTAGTTATCTCTCATTTTATCCTTCCAACAACCCCCTGTGAGAGTCAATCCTATTATCCCCATTTTATAGATAAAGAAACTGAGTTACAAAAAGGTAAAATAACATGCCCAAAGTTACACAGCTAAAAGTAATGGTGCTATAAATTGAACCCAGGAGGTCTCATTTCATAGCTTTGTGTTCTTAACCTCAAAAAAATCAGGGTATAGATGGGGACTAAATTTAGAGGGCAGGTAAGAATTCATAGGAAGTTTGAAAGATGTAGGTAAATAAAAATGTCTTAAATTCCAACAATTTATTGGGCTATTTTTTTAAGGAATCTGTAGTGATTCCATTTTTTAAAAATCCACATTAATATCTTTGAAATGTTTCTATTTTACAAGTCTATCATTAAAGCAGAGATGTTCATAATTATATTTTAATAAAAATGACAATCCTGCTTGTTGTCTTCAGAAAATTAATTCTGAGGTACTTAGAAGATGTTATAAAAGTTAATCTATTACTCTGAGGCAACACTATTTATATTTGTTTTTCCTCAAAAATTGTTCCTAGACTCATTTCCTTTATGAATGTTTACATTTTGAAGAAGCAACTCTGTTCTCTGCACCACTGAAGAACTAACATACAATCTCAAATGAAGCCATCTACATTTGCTTCTGAAATCTGGCAGAAAGAAGCAAACATCTACCATAGGACATTTATGTTTTAAATATTCCCTAATCTTTTTGAGGCTGTTCTATGGGCCCAAGAAGCCCACTGTAAGAATCGCATTATATATTCAACAAGAAATCAAAATTTAGTGATGAAAAGCAGGCTTAAGAAATTGTTTAAAAATATGAACACTTGCCTGACTTTATTAATGTTTTCTTTTACCTACTGTCTTAACTCTTGCTTATAATGTATCTCATTCCAAATGGAATATTGAATACCTTAAATTATATATCTATTTATAAAAAATTTGCCTGTTTTTAGCTTCATTCCTCATTTACATGCTCCGTTATTTTTTCATATTTTTACTGGAAAAAATTCTGTGTCAGGAGACTCTAAAGCTTTCAGATATTTTCTGCTGATTCTGTAGAAATATTCCCAAATTGCTGTAGCACTGGACTTTCTTATGTACTTTTTGCTCAATGTTTTGGTCTTAAGATATTTTGACCACTGCCTAAGTATGAGAGAATCCTTTTGATACTTGGCATTTTTCTTAAAATTTCCAAAAATCAATAACAATTTTAAAAAGCATCAAACATCTTTTTGGCTAAATTTAGTTTCTTTACTCCCTTAGTTAATTTTCTCTAAATAAATCTTGTGAACTTCTGGCATTCACTTCATTTGAAGTCTCTCATTTTGCCCCAAATTATTGATGTGGCATATACAGAATATGTGTTACAATGGTATATTTCACAGTAATTCAGAAGTTAAGATTTGTTATATGTAGCTTTTTAAATAAAGAGTTAAAGATATAATTTTCATCTTAGTGGAAGAATGTGTGTAACTGTTAAGATTGTCAATGTAGAGATATTATTGCCCCGTGGTTTCTTCATTAGCTTTTATGTCACATGAAAATAAACTTAAGAAGAGTTAATCTTGATTTGTTTTTTCCTACAGAGTACTTACACGATAAACTAGAGGACTATATAAAGCAATTTTCTATAGTAAAAATAGTCAGACAAAAAGAGAGAAAAGGTCTGATCACTGCACGGTTGCTAGGAGCAACAGTAGCAACAGCTGAAACGCTCACATTTTTAGATGCTCACTGTAAGTATAAATGTGCAGATACCGTTGTAACATTTTTCCTCCCCCAACCCCTTAATTTAAAAGGTAAGGAAGCTTTTTCTTTAGATGCCTGATTGCATTTTCTTTAACATCATTTTCAACTGGTAATGATAGGAATTGACAGCCCAAGCAGATTACAGCTCTGCCTAGACCCTTCCTTTTCCCTTACGCAAATTTCTTACCTTCCTGGTGACCAAGGCTCCTCAGCTTTAAAGCCTTCCAGTGTGTGACCCGCTTCCCAAGAGAGTTATCCTTGCCTGGGTTTTTTTTTTTCATGTGCTCATTCTGTTAAAAAAACCAAAAAGAAGAAAAAAGAAAAAAATGTGGTAGTATTTTTTTCCTTGTTCTTGATTCCTACACTTTAAAATAAGTAAAAGTTTTGTTTGTTTAAAATGTAGTCCACCTTGTCCTTAAACTTTGTCCCTGTACTAACAGTTTTAAGTTGCATGTTTCAGTTCTTCCCCCTCCTCCCAAAATTCACACACTCCCCCTCCCAGCTTCTGGTGTTTCTCCCATGAAGACTTTGGGGTTTTGTTGCTGCTGGGATTTTTTTTTCCTTTCTATTTTAATGGTTTTTTTTTTGTTTTCGGTTTCAGTCATTTTAAATAAAGTATTTGGAAGGTGTTTTAGAGTCAGTGTTTAATGTACACGTTAGGTATTACTAAAATGTCCCTTTGTCCCTTGAGCTGTAAGTTTGGTGAGTGTTAACTTTTTCTATGAGTGTTCAGCTTTAAATTTACCAGCCCTTGGTTGTGTTTAACCCAGCAAATGATATCCAGCTTACATTAATTCTCACAGTAGGGCTTTTGGATTTTCTGGAGTCTCTTTAGAACTAACACATCCAATATTCTTTTACTACCAGACACTTAAAAAAAAATGAAGAGAGATAGAAGGTAATCCAAGAGAGGTGATTTTAAAAGGAAATGGCCCATTCTCCAGTGTTCCCTCTCTTGGTCCAAAGTTACAATAACGTCAGACTGGGCATTCTTCCCCTCCAGGCAAAAGTGTTTAATGTTTCTCCAGGACTGTGACTGCCAGACTCCCCTAGATGGGAGCCCTGAGTAGGACTGCACATGCCGGCCTCTCCTGAACTCTGTGTTTTGTGAGACAGCCTGGCCTGGGACCAGGACCCAGATTTTCACAGCATTCCTTTGTTCTACTTTACATTAAGGCTGGTACAGGTTTGCACGGTCCTTTTCCAACTGCTAAAATCAGAATATTCGCACTCCTTAACTTACTTTCCTCTAAGATCCAGTCAGAGGGATGAAAATTTTTATTATTTTTTACTCAGGGAGACAAGTTTAAGTAAGTCAGAACGCATTTGGAGCTAGGTGGTATGGATCAGCAAAAAGTTATTTTTGACTGACGGCCCATTAGAAAGAGAAACGCCGCATCTGAAACTTAAATACACCAGTATCATTTTGTTGCCTTTTAAAGGTGAAAAACGGATAGTCATCTGTAGAAAAGCTCTCCTAACAATGCTGAATTTTGCTTTACGTCTTAAAAGCTTACCCTAATCTCACAAGAAACCTTTAAGAAATCTCCCCCTTTGTAAATGTTCAGAACACAAATGACTTCCTTCTCATTTCTCTGTAAACTTCCCCAAAAGAAAAGAGAAACCCTGAGTGTCTTCAACAAATTAATTAGAATTGTGTTCCTTCTAGGCGAGTGTTTCTATGGCTGGTTAGAACCTTTGTTGGCCAGAATAGCTGAGAACTACACAGCCGTGGTGAGTCCCGATATTGCATCCATAGATATGAATACATTTGAATTCAACAAACCTTCTCCTTATGGAATTAACCATAACCGTGGAAATTTTGACTGGAGCCTCTCATTTGGCTGGGAAGCACTTCCTGATCATGAGAGACGAAGAAGGAAGGATGAAACCTACCCAATTAAGTAAGATGATTGCTCACAAAGTCTTATATATATAGTTCCATTATTTGAATATGTATGTGCGCTTTGCTGTTTACAGTAATTGCCTCCATGGTAATTCACCCTAACAAAATACAGAACACACGCATTCTATATGTAGGGAATGGAGAATTCATGTATTTATGTACTTACACATAATGTTACTGAGTAAGAAGTAGAATTAGGTGAACTCTTATGCCTCCTTCATAATTATTACTTAAGAATCTTTAAGCTTGGTTAGAAGATACTTAATAATTTTACTCTATAGGGAAAGGAGACTTAAAGTATCCCCTCCCTGGCTTGACTTTAAAGATAGAATTTTCAGTTTTTATTAAACTATGAAAGAGCTTTGAAATTGGGATCATTCTTTGATATGTTTATGAATTTGATTGAATTTCCCTTTAAATATGTTATTTTTTTCTTATTTGGTTTTGTTAATAAAGTTGGACAATGTATTATTTTTCAGAACACCCACTTTTGCAGGAGGTCTTTTTTCCATATCAAAAGAATACTTTGAATATATTGGAACGTATGATGAAGAAATGGAAATCTGGGGAGGTGAAAATATAGAAATGTCTTTCAGAGTAAGTTTATAAACATTGCATATGTGTTAAACAATGACATATATTTTGTTCTAATGGGCTGATACAGATTACCATGGATATATGCTGTCTTTAGTTATTGTGCTTTCTAAAATTAAATTGCTGGGACTTTTAGCATAGGATGTTTCCTTTTAAAATGTAATTTAATATATTTATTCATTGCTGCCAATGTAACAAGAAGAATCCGTTAAATGCCTGTGTCTAGGCAATAACATCAATTAATGCACTTGCAGCTACTGAATTCCAGCCAAGATAAATATAATTAAATCTAGTGCTTCAGGAAATAAGTTGATTATCAAGGGTGTCAGAATGAAAAAAAAAAGCACATTTATGTATAATTTTAAAGGACATTGAACTCAACTCTTTGGATTATATGAGATTTTCTTTTTTCCCTCCCTATACATATGAAAAGTTAATATGAGAAACAAAACAAAGGCTTTGGATGGTCTCCACATGTACTTACTTGATTTTATAAATTCATTGGCTATAATAACTTTGTCATTCATTTTTTATCCCCTAGGCAGGAATGTAGTGGAAAAAATAACTAAACTAGGAGTTATAAGATTTAAGTTTTGGCTCAGAATCCATCACATAATGGCAGTGATGATCTTAGCCAAGTTTGAACTGCTTAAAGCCAGGGATCTTGTTTTATTCATTTCAAGTATTCCCAACCCCTAACACATGTTAGATCTCAAGCATAGTTTGTTGACTTGAACATATCACTGAGTTTTCTCATTTGTTTAAAAGACAGGGAAAAGGAGGGAGAATACGATCACTTGCCCTAGTACTAGCACATACTATTAAACATGACTTTAGATGTTTTGCTTAGAAGTTTAGATTATTTGTGGCAGAATTGATTGTCAACATATTTAACTGAATAGGTATTGATTTAATGGTTTGCATTTTATTTAGAGTTAATGCAGGGAAGTGGTTTTTTTTTTTAACTATCTCTAGTTAGGTTTTGTTTTTTGTTTTTTTTTACAAAAACCAATTACTTTATAAGTGTAATAGATTTTACTTTGGTAATTATGATAATCTGGAATCATGTTCTTGCCTAAAATTTGAATAAAAAGGTATAAATAGAGTGTGGGCTCACTTACTCAACAACTGCTACTTTATCCAGTAGAAGACTGTTGTTCAAGTGAAGTAACTATACAAGTAGGGTAAGAAGATGGAAGTCAAATGCAGAAGAGCCTTTGCTCTTCTGTGTATAGGTTGGAGTTTGCATAATTATTTGAAAAAAAGTTGGGGATTCATTTTTATGAAAGATCTGAAACTGGTATTTTGTTAAATTTCTAAAAATACGCTTTTGTCAACATTAGTATACCATTGAATAAAACTGTTCTTTATATTTAAGAACTTGAGCTGTGAAGTTGTGATAAACCTCTTTTCTATATTTTGCTTTTATTAATATCTTAAAGGTGTAAAGCAGCACTTTGATTTTCCTAAAATACTGTAAATTTAAACAAATATCATTAATTATCAGGTATGGCAATGTGGTGGGCAGTTGGAGATTATGCCTTGCTCTGTTGTTGGACATGTTTTTCGCAGCAAAAGCCCTCATACCTTTCCCAAAGGCACTCAGGTGATTGCTCGCAACCAAGTTCGCCTTGCAGAAGTCTGGATGGATGAATACAAGGAAATATTCTATAGGAGAAACACAGATGCAGCAAAAATTGTGAAACAAGTAAGTTATAGATAAATAATTAAATTACAATACAAATCCACTCCCAGGTTCACATGTTCTTTTACTTGTTTGAGTGAAGTCAAGTACAAAATTATTTTTAATATAACCTTTATTGTATTTGTTCCATTACCATTTAGTCCCCTTATCCCCCACTCCTACCAGTAATCACCACACAGTTGTCCATGTCCAAATTCTTCATTAATTTTGGATAGTAAGCCCTCATCAGATGTATCAGCGAATATGTTCTCTGACATTTGCTCCCATATTCTTGTCTTTTTAATTTATCGATGATATCCTTTGCTGTGCAAAAACTTTTCAGTTTTACCTAGTCACATTTGTTTATTGTTTCTTTTGTTTTCCTTGCCTGTAGAGATGTGTCCGATAAAATATTGCTATGAGCAATGTCTGAGATTTTGCTGCCTAAGTTTTCTTCTAGGATTTTTATGGTTTTGGGTCCAATGTTTAAGTCTTTCATCCATTTTGAATTATTCTTGTGTGTGGTATAAGAAGGTAGTCTAGTTCCATTTTTCTGTATGTATCTGTCCAATTTTCCCAGCATCATTTATTGAATATCTTTAGCCCATTGTGTATGCTTGCTTCCTCTGTCGAATATTGATGGACTATAGAGGTGTGAGTTTCTTTCTGGGGTCTCTGTTGTGTTCCATTTTTCTGTGTCTCTGTTTTTATGCCAGTACCATGCCTTTGAATTAGTATGGCCTTCTATTCTAGCCTACTGTATTTTGCAATGTATAATACTCATCCATATTTTTGGCCCTGTCTTTCTGGAAAAAAAGAACTTTTGTTTTATTTTTTTAATTCCATAATTTATTTATTTATATTTAAATACTTGTTTTTTATAGTATAAAGGAATTTATTTTAACGCATTATGGTACAAGAAATATTATGTAACAAATAATTATGAGCACAAGAACAGACACAAGGTACAAGAAATTTTATGTGTACTGCCCATGTATAATGCGCATCCTTACATTTTCCTCAAAAATTTGGGCAAAAAGTGCACATTATACATGCCCAAACACTGTCATTTGATATTGGGTAGCATGATTCTTCCAACTTTGTTCTTCTTTCTCAGGATCACTGTTGCTATGCAGGGCTTTCTGTGGCTCCATGTAAGTTTTTGAAATATTTGTCCTAGTTCTGTGATATACATCATTGGAATCTTGATTAGAATTGCGTTGAATCTGTAGGTTGCTTTGGGTAGTATGGACATTTAATGATGTCAATTCTTTCAATTCATGAACAGTGTATATGCTTTTACTTATTTGTTTCTTCTTCAATTTCTTTCTTCAGTGTCATAATTTTCCAAAACAGGCCTCTCACATCCTTGGTTAGGTTTATTCCTAGGTATTTTATTCTTTTTGTAGCAATTGAGAATGGGATTATTTGCTTAATTTCCCTTTCTGTTAGTTTGCTTTTGGCATATAAAAGTGAAACTGATTTCTGGATATTAATTTTATATCCTGATACTTTGCTGAATTCATTTATCAGTTCTAGTAGTTTCTTGGTAGAATCTTTGGGATTCTCTATGTACAGGATCCTGTCACCAGCCAACAGTGACAGTTTTACTTCCTCCTTTGTTATTTGGATGTCTTTTATTTCTTCTATGCGTCTGATCACTGTGGCCAGGTCTTCCGGTAGTGTGCTGAATAAGAGAGGCGAAAGCAGACTTCCCTGTCTCATTTCTGATCTTAAGGGGATCATTGTAGTTTTTGCCCATTGAGTATGGTGCTGGCAGTGGTTTTCGGCAGTGGGTTTCTTACATATGGCCTTTATTACGTTTAGGTATGTTCCCTCTATTCCCACATTGCTGAGACTTTTTATCATAAATGGGTGCTGGATCTTATCAAGTGCTTTTTCTGATTTTATTGATATGATCATGTGGTTTTTATCCTTCATTTTGTTTATGTGGCATATCACATTTATTGATTTGAGAATGTTGTGCCTACCTTGCATTCCCAGAATAAAACCCACTTGATCACTGTGTATGGCCTTTTTGATGCATTGCTGTATTCAGTTTGCTAATATTTTGTTGAAGACTTTAGTGTCTATGTTCATCAGGGATATTGACCTATATATTTTTTCTTTGTAGTGTTTTAATTTGGTTTTGAAATTAGGATAATGCTACCTCATACAATGAGTTTGGGAGTCTTCCCTTTTCTTGAATTTTATGAAATAATTTGAGAAGCAGAGGTATTCGTTGTTAGAAATTTTGGTACAAGTCACCTGTGAAGCCATCGGCCCAGAGCTTTTGTTTCTTGGGAGGTTTTTGATCAGTCCTACAATTTCACTAGGTGTAATTTGTCTACTCAGAGTCTCTTGATTCTTCCTGATTTAGTGTAGGAAGATCATTTCTAGAAATTTATCCAGTTCATCCAGTTTGTCCCATTTGTTGACATATGGTTGTTCATAATATTTTCTTACAATCCTTTGTACTTCTTTGGTGTCAGTTGTTATTTCTCTTCTTTCTTTGTTTTCTTTTTTCTTCTCTTTTATTTTGGATTTTACTTATTTGGGTCCTCTCTCTTTTTGTCTTGATAAGTCTCGTTAAAGATTTGTCAGTCTTGTTTATCTTTTCCAAATACCAGCTCTTAGATTCATTAATTGTTTATATCCTTTCTTTTTCCTGCGTCGTCTGATTGGTAATCTGCATGGTTTTTTTAAAAATTATTTTTCAAGTACAGTTTTCTGTCTTATACTCCCATCCAGGCCACAGCCCCCCAGTGCTCCCCACCTCCCTCCCATTTCCACCCCCCTTAGTTGTTGTCCATGTGTCCTTTATACTAGTTCCTGTAAATCCTTCCCCTTTGTATCCTTTTTTAAGACTATTTCATTTATTCCTACTGTGTTCTTCGTCATTTCCTTCCTTGCACTCAGTTTGGGCTTTATTGTTCTTTTACAAGTGCCTTTAAGTGTAAAGAGAGATTGTTTATTTGAGTTTTTTCTTATTTTTTTAGATAGGCCTGTAATGCTATGAATTTCCCTCTTAGGATTGCTTTCCCATTGTCCCACAGATTTTTAGATTGTTGTGTCCTTGTTTTCATTTGTTTCAATGTATCTTTTGATTTCTTCCGTTATCTTGTTGTTGAGCCGTACATTGTTTAATAACATGTTATTTGGTTTCTATGTCTTTGCATGTTTTTCAATGTTTTCTTTTGATTGATATCTAGTTTCATAGCACTGTGGTCAGAGAACATGCTTGATATGATTTCAACCCTGTTAAATTTACTGAGACTTGTTTTGTGTCCTAATATGTTCCCTATCCTAGAAAATGTTCCATGTGCACTCGGAAAGTATAGGTATCCTGCCGTGTTGGAATGAAATGTTCTGAAGATACCAGTTAAATCCTTTTGATCTAGTGTGTCATTTAGGGCCTCTGTCTCCTTGTTGATTTTCTTTCTGGAAGATATTTCTACTGAAGTCAGTGGGGTGTTAAAATCCCCAGCTGCGACTGTATTTCTGTCAGTCTCTCTCTTTATGTCCATCACTGTTTGCTTCACATATTCAGGTGCTCCTATGTTGGTATGTAAATGTTTACTAGGGTTATATCCTCTTGCTGGATTGTTCCTTTTCTCATTATGTAGTGTTCTCTGTATCTTACAAATGCCTTGATTTTAAAGTAATTTTATCACATATAAGTACTGTTACCCCAGCTTTTTTTTTCCAATTCGTATGAAGTATCTTTCTTCCATCTTTTATTTTGGTTTGTGTGTTTTTTCTTTTTAAAATTATATCGTATTGATTATGCTATTACATTTACCCTGATTTTCCCCCCTTTGCCTCCCTCCACCCAGTGCCTCCTACTCCCTTAGGCAATCCCCCCACTATTGTTCGAGTCCCTGGGTCATGAATGTAAGTTCTTTGGTTGCTCCATTTCCTATACTGTACTTTACCTCCCCATGGCTATTTTGTAACTACCTATTTGACCTCTTAATCTCCTCATCTCTTCACCCCTTCTCCCCCTCCTCCCTCCCATCTGGCAACTTTCTGGTAACTAACTACTTTTCTCTTGCTTTTAAGATTCTCTTTATCTTTAATCTTTAGCCTTTTAATAATGATGTGTCTTGGATTGGGCCTCTTTGCATCCATCATAATTGGGACGCTGTGCTTCCTAGACCTGCATGTCTACTTCCTTTGTGAAATTAAGGAAGTTTTCTTTCACTGTTTTTTCAAATAGATTTCCAATATTTTGCTCTTTCTTTTCTCCTGGCACCCCTCTGAGGTGAAGGTTTTTTTAAAGTTGTCCCAGAGGCTGCTTATACTATCATCATTTTTTTTAATTCTCTCTACTCTTATCATTCTGTGTAGTTTTTTTTCTTCCTTATGTTCCAAATCATTGATTTGATACTTGGCCTCACCTATTCCACTGTTGTTTTCTTGTAAATTGTTCTTTATTTTAATTAATGTATACTTCATTTCTGCCTGGGTCTTTTTTATACTGTTGAGGTCCTCACTAAGTTCCTTGAGCATCCTTATAAAGAGTGTTTTGAACTCTGCATCAGTAGATTGCTTATCTCCATTTCCTTTAGTTTTTTTTTCTGGAGTTTTGATCTGTTCTTTTTTCATTTGGGCCATGTTTCTTTGTCTCCTCTTTTTGGAAGCCTCCCTGTGTTTGTTTCTATGTGTTGGGTAAAGCTGCTTTGACTCCATGTCTTGGTAGTGTGACCTAATGTAGTAGGTGTCCTGTAGGGTCCAGTGGCACAGCCTCCCCTATTACCCAAGCTGGGTACACAAGGTACACCCTTTGTGTGGGCTGAGTACACCCTCCTCCTGTAGCTGAGTCTTGGTTGCTGTTGGCAGATCAATGGGAGGGATTTACTTAGGCCAGTCAGCTGCAAGGACTGGCTGTGGCCACTGACCACCAACCTCCACCCTCCATGGAGTATTAGCTTTGCAGGGGCAGGGTGGTGGTGTTCCTGCATGGTCTGTAGCCTTCCACTGGGTGTGTTGCCCCTGCAGCTTCCTGGGTGGTGCAGGCCAAG